TAAAAATCAGGGAGGAAGATTCTAGGGAACTAGATGATATATATGTCCATCCCTTGGGTACTGCCTAATTCAAAAAATTCATCTCTTGGGTAGATTCCTTGAGTGTTTTTTGAGTTAGTTGGAACCTGAACGACTTCCTGTTCTCTTTTTGCTTAAAAAAAGGATAAGTAATTCGTCAAACTGATAGTCAACCAATCGAGTAGTAAATAAATCTCCTTTTAGAGTAACTAACTTGTCAAACAGACAATGAGCCAATAGAATAGTAAAACCCGACATCAATAACCCCAAAGGCTGAAGGTTCAAAATTCAACATATATTCTTAACCTCTTCTAAGATCTCCATCTTTGTGTGCATTATAGTGGAGCAATTAATATAAATCGCACATCTAAATTTTGCAAATGGATATGTATAGTTTCTGGCCAAAAACCAATGTATGGGAGAATTTTTTGTAATAACCCATTTGGATTGATGTTTTCTATGTTTCAACACGTCCTCAATTGTATATATGGGGTGCTTAGTTTGCTTTTGAACACATTTAATGAACGATTCTACGGGATTGTTTCACTTTTGCTTGTATCGGCATTGCATGTTCAAGTTTTATCGCTGAAACATTTATCCTAGTATTGAGTCATACATGCACCAGAACTAACAAATCTAAATTCTCTCATAGGAGAATATGAAATTATACACATAACTAAATTGAAGTCGATAATTAACTTTCACAAACTATAGGTTGCAAGTTAATGACAAGCATACAAATGACAATTTTTAGCACATCAGTTAATTTGTTAGAAGAAATTCCTGGTTCTCCAAATTTAAAACACATGAACTTAGTTATGTCAAATGTATAAACTTATAATAATCAGTAAACTTCTAGTTTGACTTGTTGGTACGAGAAGTGAACTTCTAGTTTCTTAGTCAACTTCTGGTTTACTATAAAATCGAACTATAATAATGCATGTATAGTATTTTAACACAAAAAAATACACAGATAATGTTTTTCTTCTGGAGATTGTATTCTTATTATACAAGTATATGATAACAGTTTTCTGATATTCGAAAGTCTTTTCTCCAATTCTCTTGATATTGGTGCAAAATCATTTTGTCGTTTTATTTACTCTTCAAGAGCCAAATTCACAAGTTCTCTTCTAGAGATAAAGAACTAATTATTCAACAATGTCAAAACAACTCTTCTTCATAAGAGCATTTACTCTAATAGAGTTTTATTTACTCTGCATGAGAATTGTTTAATCAGTAATTTTCGTTCTACCAAAGTATTCCTACTCTCCTGGAGTACACATATAAAATATTATATAACTGACGCTCTACATGATATTTTATCCAATTTTATTTATGGAGAAATGTACTTACATATTCCCAGTAGTTAGGGAGCATTCACAATATTGTTTGCCATAGCAAATTCTACTCTTCTGGAGATTTTGTCCAATTTTGTGAAGAAATTCATACGGATGCTCTACCAGAGTATTAAATCAATTTTGTTCTAACAAAAGAATGATGACATTGCCTGAACTCATAATCATAAGTAATAATAAAGTATGCGATGAGGTATACAATAAAGCACTAATCTAAAATATAAAATAAATTACCGCCAAATGTTTTCATTATGAACAGATAACTAATATCACCTTCATAGTGATCATTCATAAATAGTTCTGATTCTTAATTTGTTCACCTTCAGGGAGAATATATAACTAACATCCATGATAATATCTCTAACACTTTTGATGGAGAATAAGAATATGATAGAGAGTAAAAATATGTTTTTAGCACAAAGTAGGTATGTGATGACTTTTATGCTATAACAATAGCACTTTCTATCTTTTATCCTTTTGCTCTCTTCAACTTTCCATTTCTGGCGAATTATTTTATTTTCATTAAAATCTATCCCTTCTGGTGGTTGGAAATATATATATTTCGTATCATTACCAATTCTCAATTATGTTTGGGACTTCAATTTGTCCACTATTAAATTTCTGATAATTGCACCCACTTCAGGAAATGCATTAGTCCAATTTGGACAAGTCTAATAATTTTTCAATAAAGAAAACTCAATAGTTTATTTAATAGTAACAAGAAAACACATTGCTACATTAGGAGCAATTCCTTATTTTTCTTTGTCACTAATCTTGCACTTCGGGTGAAAAATTATATTTTATATGTGATCTTCGTATTGTTATATAAGATTTACTATTTGCAACTTGACTCGCAAAAGTAGTTCTTCACTTACTTCAAGAAGTGAGAAATTATCAAATCAAGGGGTCTCGTGATTTTCCTTAACAAAATCATATTAGTAAATTTAAAAAATAATAATAAACTGCTACTTCAAAAATTCGACGTTATACTTATGAATCCAAAAATCTCGTGAATGTAAATTCATCCAATCATTGAAAATGTTTGAAAAATAGTTATAACTAATTCCCAGCTTCTGGTGGTTCATGATATTCTTATAATTTGTCTTGACTGACAGGCTCAACCATTATCATCTGTGTTTATTCATATTTACCACTTCAAGTGGTCAATTTACATGACTATGATATTTGAACATATTCAAATCCACTTGCTTCAGGAAGTGAAGAAAATCTCTTTGAATATTTTTATGAAATTGCTGCTAATGGAGCAACTTCAATATATGAGAAATTTATAATAGAAAAGGCTACTATAGGAGCACTTGGTTATATCCAATATTTACAAAACAAGAAAAACTTATCGCACTCCCTGATCTACAAATCAAAATCAACCGCACTCCCAAATCTACGAATTAAAATCTTTTCAGTTGGATAAAGATTCGTGCTGATAACGTGTTATAAAATACGTATAAAGAACTGTAGAGAAAAGACAATAGAGAAAGAGAGAACAAGTTGAGAGAGAAAAAGAGAGAATTGATATGTATTATTTCTGCAGAGACTGCTCTCCTTTTATAGAGGAGATGGATACGAGGATAAGAGTAAATAATGATAAATCTAACTAAATATTATCTCTGAACAGTTGATTTCTTATATAATTCTTCTGGCTTTAGACATCCACATTTAAATATTTATAACATTATTATTATTTTCTTTTTTCCTCTAGTTCCTCCATTGTAATTCCGTCACTGATTTCAATAAAATAAAATTTCTACGCACTTACAATGTTGTCATGTTTATACGAAAGATACGCAAAAAACTTTCATCATTTACCTAAATTCGTAAGGTACATAACAAAAGTTCCAACTTGGCAAATTTTGGAAGTTTTATCCACCCCCACGTACGTCTGTACATATTCATCTTTTGTTTTCACTAAAAAAGATAAGAGAAATAGGAAAATTCCAAACCCTGAATCTGGAAAATATATGCCAAATTTTCAACATCGCATGCATGCGTGTGTGTGTGTGTGTTTGTGTATTGTTGATGTCATGGAGTTCTTCTTAAGTCAAATATTTTCAGCAACCTAATAAATTCGACATTATCATCAATTGATTTTCATTTCATCATCTTAGTACTTAAGAGTTAAGACTTTGTCAAAAAGTAGGATTTGCCTCATATGAGGTGGTAAGAATAAAGCTAAGTTTGTGTATATATAACATTAGGGCCATATTGTCAATTTGTCATCTCTTTCTTTAATTATTTCGGTGGGTCTTCACGCTTCAATTTTTTTTTTTCAGCTTTAAAGATAACTACTTGTACTTTCTTACCTTAATCACATACCCACGAGTTGATAGGAGTTAGTTTTACGTTATCCCTGTTTTTGTGTAAGTTTTGTCAAACCTATATGACAAATGGTGTGTTTCTTTTTCACATAAGAAAATCTTCGATTTTACGAGATACTTCGAGAACCGAAGCAAAATGAATTAAATCCTAACGAAACGTTTTCACTGCTGAAATTATTGATCTTATAATTTTTAGATATGAAATTATTATAAATTGAGAATTTTGGGTGGGAATAATTATATCGTTCGTGTTCGAATCTTATCGGAAGTAACTCAAAACATATTTCTTTGTCACGAGATATACTTGTGCTCAAAATATCGCCATCAAATAACATGCAACTCTTGTGAAACTCATGTTCAATTTGCATAACAAATTGTTACATGACAGCGTTGTTTGTAGAATGGTCAAATTGCACAAGAAGTTACTACCTTCGTTCAATTTGAAACAGTTTTTTAATTAAATTAACTCTCGGTACTAAACAATACTAGTTCACATGGTCAAATTACTTAGTTAGCATGCATGTAGCAAACGTGGTGACCGAGCTTTTTTTACTTGTGTTCCAACATCTCTTATTATTTATTTATTTTTGTGTGTGTTTGTTTTGTAAAAATCTAATGACCACTCTACCATTTCATTTATCGTTTTAATTTATGTTTTTTCATATCGGTGAATTCTGTGGTACTTTTTCGATTATCTGGTGCCTTAATTTACAATCTTAGAAGTTTCGATACCGATCCATTTACATTCTTATAACTTTATTCGATATTCATGTAATGCTCTCTAAAATACTTATTTATATTGTCATGCATGCCCCATAATTTTTTATTACGTCAAAGTATACTTTAATTGAACTTTAAAAATTTGGAAACAGATCCAAAGTAACACTTTTTTATTTTGAAATAGTGCTATGTTATGAAAACTATGAAACAAAAAGCATCGTAGAAAAATTTACTTGATACAATGTCTATTACTCTATCTAGTACTTACAAAATGTGTCACAGGGGAACTAAATAATTTTAGTTTGTTTTTTAGAAAAAAAGAAATATTTTAGTTGGAGAAATGAAAGCTAAAGCTGCTGTTGATTGGAATATAAATGGGCTTTTGAAATCATATATGGGCTTTTCTTCTGGTCGTTGTCTACTTTGGGCTCAATTTCTGGTTTATTGTAGTTTTGGACGGGCTTCTGTTTCATTAGTCCAATCTTCGGAATGGTGACACAAAATTCTGAAAAACCCGTTCCCAACTGTCAAACAATGAAACAAGCAAGAAAGCAAACAAATTGAGAGCCAAAAAATGAGCAAATATGGTCAATTCTGCCTCTCATTACTAACCAAATGCAAAACCCTTGATTCGTTCAAGCAAATTCACGCCCAAGTCTTTACAAATGGCCTCCACGCTGACCGCTTTGTCGCCGGAAAACTCATCCTCCACTGCTCTATAAACCTCTCCGGCGCCGCCCTGAACTACGGTTTCTGCATTTTGAACAAAACTCCGAACCCAGATGTATTTATGTGGAATACCCTTATTCGTGGACTGGCCGAATCAGATACGCCGGAAACGTCACTCCATATGTTCATTCACATGCTTCGGAACTCGAACTTTCTCCCTGATAGTTTCTCTTTCGCTTTTACTCTAAAAGGAGCTGCGAATTTGAAGTGTTTGAAGAGTGGATCCCAGCTTCATTGTCAAGCTTTCTTACGCGGCTTTAGTTCCCATATTTTTGTTGGGACTACTTTGGTCAGTTTGTATGCGGAATGTGGATTGGTTTTTATGTCCAAGGCTGTGTTTGATGAAATGCCTGAACCAAATGTAGTGGCTTGGAATGCTCTGCTGACGGCTTATATTAGGTGTAATGATGTAATGGGTGCCGAAAGACTGTTTTATTTGATGCCTTTTCGGGACTTGACAACGATGAATTTAATGCTTGCAGGGTATACGAAGTCGGGTAAACTTGATCTTGCCAAGAAGCTGTTCTCGGGTATGCTAGTCAAAGACGATGTTTCTTGGAGTACTATGATTTTTGGGTTATCTCATGCTGGTAATTACGTGGAGTCATTTAGGTGTTTCAGGGAGTTACTGAGGTTGGGGCTGACACCTAATCAAGTTAGCTTATCTCAGGTTCTATCTACCTGTGCACACACTGGTGACTTTGAGTTTGGGAAAGTTTTGCACTCATTGATAGAGAAGCTGGGGTTGGCTTGGATTCCTTCTGTGAACAATGCACTCCTGGACGCTTATTCTAAGTGCGGAAATCTGGAAATGGCGTATTTGGTCTTTGAGAGAATGCCAATGAAGAAAAATATTGTTTCTTGGACTTCAATCATCACAGGGCTTGCAATTCATGGTTATGACGAGGAAGCCATTAGAATGTTTAATGCGATGAAGGGATCTGGTGTTAGACCTGACGAGATCGCTTTTGTTTCTATCCTTGATGCATGTAGTCACGCTGGCCTTATTGAACAAGGGGAGAAAATCTTCTCTATGATGTCAAACTATTTTGGAGTTGATCCAACTATTGAACATTATGGCTGTATGGTAGATTTATATGGAAGATCTGGTCAGTTGCGGAAAGCTTATGATTTTGTAGTTCAAATGCCAATTCCTGCAACAGCTGTAATTTGGCGGATAATTCTAGGGGCTTGCAGCCTTTTTGGAAATGTTGAAATTGCTGAACGTGCGAATGAGAGGCTTGCTAAACTGGATCCTGCTAATTCCGGTGACTGTGTTTTACTTTCAAATGTCTATGCTCATGCCGGAGAGCAAAAGCATGTCGTCTCTTTACGGCAATCAATGGTGGAGCAGAATATCAGAAAAACTCCAGGTTGGAGCATGATTTAGATATATGGAGAACTAAGAATGTGACCAGAGATTTGCAATTTGTGACAATAACAACACTTCTTCCTTCTTACCATTTTATCTATTTCATGAAAATTTCCTCCCAAGAGTATATATAGCAATTATTATAATAGTGTCTCTAATTTAAACCCAGGCACCTCGGAAGGACGAACCACACACAATGAAAAGCTTTGAGCGGTCTTCTTCCTCTCTGATGGTTTAGATCACAGTGTCATGTCTTCGTGATATGATTAGTCAAAGATCTCATTAGTTATATTATTTCAGATTTTATGATATTTAGATTTTAACTAATCCTGATGTATCCCTATAAATAGAGCCCATATAATGTAATGTAGTATACAACACAAATTCATGATTTCATTTTCTTTCACAAGTCTGTTTCTCTTCATGGTATCGAGAGCAAAATCAACTCTGCACTAATAATTTATTTTTCGTTTTTTCTTCCTCATGTTATCCCACCACTGATTACCACAATCACTACTTCACACAACTACTATACTTTTTTCTTTTTTTTCTTTCTTTTTCTTTTTACTCTAATATAATTGTTTTAAAATGACTATTTCACAATCAACTTCAACTATCACCACTACTCAATCATTTTCTCTTTATAATATCACAAATTTTATCATTGTATCTCTTGATAATCCCAAACTATCTAATTTGGAGAGATCAAATTGAAGGAATGTAATTACCATCGATCTCAATGATTATATCGATGGTTCAGTTTTACCACCAAAAGATTCTCCATCTAATTCTACTATTTCAAAAGGATTTCTTCAATGGCAAACACTTGATCGCTTTGTCAAGTGTTGTCTCACTGCCTCGTTGTCTTCTTCAATGACATCAGTGGCAATGGAGTGTCCTACTGCTCGTGACCTCTGGATCAAACTCGAGCATCACTTTCTTCAACAACCTATAATACGTAAATCCCAACTACGGCAAAAAATTCACAATTTTTAAGAAAGGTTCTCTCACAGTTAATGATTTTCTCACATCATTATTAATTATGGCGGAAGAGCTTTCTGTTGCTGGGATACTATCCGAAATCATGATCTTGTTATTCTCACTCTTGATAGTCTCTTATCTGAATACACTTCCTTCATCACTATTATGGAGAACCTCAACTCTCCTCCCTCATTCATAGATCTCCGCGCAAAACTACTTCTCCATGAGCATTATTTGCAATCATTTATGCCCTCACCAGAAGCTGCACTTCATACTACTGGGAACTTGTTGGTTAATAATTCCCGGTCTCATGGTAGCTGGTCACAACCCAATTCAGATCGTTGTAGTGGTTAGCTCTCTCCCTACTTTCATAATTATTCAACTTCGCACTCATTTTATCGCAACCCAATTGATACGGTCCAAACAGTCCCTTCAACACTACCCAAAATCCCCCAAATCAAGCCCAATTCCCCACCCATCCTTCTATTTCCTACTTGCGCAACCATTATTCTGCACATGTGCAGGGTGATGAATCTGCCCAGTGTTGTGTAAACGTGTGGAGCAAATTTTGTTAGAATACGAAGAGTAATATAGATAGGTTGGTTCATTTAGTTAGAATATGGGATGCTTTCTTATAATAGGTGTGTCTATTTGATAAAATGGAGTGTAATGGTAAGTTTGCATTTACAATTAGTTTATTTAGTACTTTGGTAAGTTTGCGTTTTGCAGTGTGTCAGAGGGAGTTCAAATGGAAGGGAAGGCACACATATTTTGCGATGAGTTTGGTTTATGTTCCGCCTTTGCGAGGATGATGTGGAGTGCAGCCGCAAGGCCACTATCAATTGGCGCAGTTTGGGTAACATTTAAGCACGATTTTAATTGTTCAAACATTGTCTCGTACACTAGTTGCAGCAGTATTTCTCCTCCTACACCAGTATTTCTCTTCTTCCACTTGAGGCAGCAGTAACTTGCAGTGATGGTGATGCAATTCCTTCTTTTGGCAGCAAGATCTTAGGTCTGGTTCTTCCTGATTGACAACAGCAACAGCAACTGCAGCAACAACTTGGTAGCAGAGTGATTGCCATTCTTATTCCCCTAGCTGCTGCAAAGTTCTTCTTGAGAGATCATCTGCACTTAAATTGATATAAAACTGTAAGTAGAAAGGAATAAGAAATGCCTCCAAAAAAAGGGTCTAATTCAAGTGTTATCTGATTCTCAGGGGTTACACTGCCTCATTGGACAGGCTGCCTTTTCTCCTTCACTATATATTTGTCTTTGAAACTCAGTGTCAACCGCCTACCTTCTCCCTTTGCCAAGGTTTTTTAGGCTTTTACCATTTGTAACAATTAAGGCATCCAAATTTTAAAGGCAACCTTAGAACTATTACTCAGACAAGTGACATATTGTAACTGTGAGAGCGAAGAACTGTGGACTAACTTCAAGTGAATCAACAAGTGTTCAAAATTTAAAAATTTCTCGTACATTTTTTAATCATCACATACTTTCACACAGCATGTACTTGAACTTGTTCAGAGTTAAAAAAAAAAAAATTTCCATTGTTTTTCAAAATGATCCTGTCAAAGTTTAAGCATACAAATCTTCCCCTCAAAATTTTAATAAGCATTGTCCTCAATGCTTATTAACAAAGAAACAGATCAGAAATCAATACAGATATATGTACAGAACATGCAATTGACTGAAAATCAGAAGAATTAACACACACAACTGGCTAAAAAACATACCAATGACTGTTAGACTCACAGGTAAATAAGAAAAAGACATAAATACATATTCAATTATACAGAAAACTAAAAAAGAAAAGAAAAAAACAGAGTACTTTCCTGGGTCATTAGGGGTCCATAAACGGGTGGGGTGGTCCTTCTAGTTGCAGTGGTGGTGGAATGTCTCCTCTGATGTGTGTGTTGAGGAATTGGACATGTGCTTTTTGTATTAGCCTAGTAGTAAGCACTGGAAAGAACCAATTCTTTTCCCTTTGATTTTTCCACACAGATATTCATCTGTTGTCTGATTACTTTAGCCACATCAACTGGGATGTTGAGGACTAAGGCGAACAACAAAAGTACCATCTCGTAAGGTATCTTATTATGATATCTCAGAGGCATGATGTTGCTGCATGTCATGTGGTACCATGGCTTGTATTCTAGCCTTAGATCGGATGCTGGGAAGTATTTGAGGATGCCATGTTTTGTAGTACAAATGACATCTGTAGGGTTAGAGCATAACGCGTACCGCAATTCTTCCTCCAGAGTCGCATCCATAACATTGTATGCACCATCTGTATAATTAAAATCGACTTCTGGGAGTTGTAGAATGTCCCTGATGGCTTCTGTACTGATGTCGACAATATGGCCTTTCACTGTAATTTCATCCCTGGGTACTCCTCTCATGTTGCTGTAGAATTCTCGTACAGCGCTGAGATTGCGTCTGGTTGTAACAGTGCACAATCATTCCCAATGATGTATTGCTATATAGGAGTTTGGATTTGGGTGACCTATCATGCCTCTTTCTACAATTGCTCGTCTTTTCCGGTTCCACCGAAAGAATTCCGCTGCTTCCTGGTTAGAGACCAACCCTGAAGTTTCTATATTCCAGATAAATTCCGGTGGTTTTGTCGCTCTTCTCTGGTCGGTTGTTCTTGGAGGTATGGTGGAACCAATGCTATCCCCTGTAATAACATCTTCTTTCTCTTTGTCTGGTTCTAACCATCTAGATCTAGGTTATGGTTTTGAGAAGTATTCTAATGGTTACTGTCTGTTATGTTCATTAGTAGAGGAGATAGTTTTGTGAAGATGAAGTGGAAGATGTGAATGGTGGAAGGGTTTTAAGTTTATGGGGGCATGGGGTGCAGTTTCATAAAAAAAGAGACATTTTGTTCCCCTCCATCATTTATTCCTGACTCTTCCACCCACCAATCACATCAGAGGTTTTAAAAATGAATTTCCCCCTTTTTGGGTTCAAGAGAATTTTGACATTGGGTTTGTTCTTAGCCAAACTTGTCACTTACGGGAGTGGTAAGCGTCACGCGCCGAAGTGGACTGGCTGATAATACGTCCTGAGTTCCATTTCTCTCCTCTTGCATTAGCTATTCTTTCACTTTAGTCGGCAGTAGCTGCAGGCGGCAAGTAGAAGAGTTGCAACTATTTTCTTCTTCATATTCTCCCTGTTTCTCTTCTTCTACTTGAGGCAGCAGCAACTTGCAGTGATGGTGATGCAATTCTTTCCTTTGGCTGCAAGATTTTGTTCTGGTTCTTTGTTAGTGACAGCAGCTACAGCAGCTGCAGCAGTAATTTGGCACCACAGTGGCTGTCATTCTTATTCTTCTAGCTGCTAGAGAGTTCTTCCTGAGAGATCATCTGCAATCAATTTTCCTTCATCAGCAAGGATTCCTCCACTTGATCAGCTCCAATCGATCCTTTTAGCCCTTCATTTCCAGCAGTGTCTAATTTGGTCCTTTTTGATGATCTTTTGTGCAATTTGTCTCCAATTTATGCCGATTTTCCACATTGATCGTTTGAACACCATGAAATACGGAATTGACCCAAAAAGTGAACTAATTCTACAAACTTGACATCAAATTCTAAGTACAAAATGAATAAGAAACGCTTCTAAAAAGGGTCTAATTTAAGTGTCATCAGCGCTGTTGGAAACTTTTGTCATAAGGAATAGTGTCTCTCACAATGGTTTTGAACATCCATTAGTCTGTGGTCATACGGCTCCAACAGATCGACATCTAAGGGTGGTCAATCTACCCATTGTTGTCTACACGCTTGGGGTGAATTCTGTTAAAATAGAATATGAAGACTAATATGTATAGGCTGGTTCTTTTAGTTAGAATATGGGGTGGTTTCTTGTATTGGGTGTGTCTATATAGTGAAATCGATTGTACCAAAGAATCGTGTTTGGTTTGTAATTTTTTTGAATGGAACAATTTGTTTATGTAATACATGTGGCGGCCCAAATGCGATTAGTAAAATTCAAGTTGGGAGTGTATATGTTGTGAGGGAATAGTCTTTATCAGCATTACAATTTTATAGGGAAAAACATATTCCCTAGCTAGGAATTTTCTCAGTAGACAATCAACAGTGTCTCAGAAAATAGCAAGAAAGCAATATATTTTGAAGACAGAGTCATGTAACGAGAAACGACGTTCAGTTTAGTAAGGTTGGGACAGAGTGGAGAATTAACTCCTGTCATTTCGTAGGTGATTGAGGGCTGACATCTTCCATGGGAATATTTTGCAGGGGCACTACATCGAAAGATTCCTCAATTTCTGATGATGATGCTGGAGGAATATTCCTTTGCTTTGAATGTCCTTTATCTGTTGAAAAGTTTAGTTCCACTTCCTCTGTTTGTGCTTGGCTGCCACATCTGTAGTTG